TAGTGTATTTGAGACAGGATCATAACTATATAGCCTTGTCTGGTCTCAAATTCTCAGTTTCTCTGCCTCAGTCCTCACCCCCAGCCCACTGCCCCATTCTGGGATTACAGGTGTGTGCTACTCTGTCTGGAAGCTGTAGGTGGCGTTTTCCAGGGCTAGTGGTAAGCATCTCCCTTACTGTAGATTTGCCATGCATGTTTACCCTTTAGTTGGGTTGTTTGGTAGAATGGCTCTAATCATTTTTCTCGACACCTTCAAAGGCACACATGCCTATAGAAGGTTTCCAAGTGAGGGCTTTGAGAAGTGCTCAACCTCCCTGAAGATGAACATATTTGGGATTCTGCTTGTTGTTTTATAGAGCACACTAGTAGAAAATCACAGCACATTATTTCAGTCAACAAATATGGTACAGCACTTTTTATGTATGGACACTAACAAAATAGAACTCTGTGCTCACAGAGCAATCCCATGTGGGGAGAGGCCCATTCTCCTCACATAGAGATATGCAAAGAGGGAGTTTTGTCTTTGGCACTTCAAATCAAAGAGAGGCAACAGTGACATTTCTGTGAACATCTGAGGGAACAACATCTGTCCCAGTCAGGAACCAGAGCTGAGCAGTGCAGCATCTCTGGTTTGTTCACACTCGTAAGTTACTGTGGCAGAGGCACAGAGGTGTGAGGTCAGATGGGAGAGGGAGGAGTTCAGGCTGCAGGAGGCTTGAGGCTGCAGCAAGTGTGTGGGTTGCATTGGAGGAAGGTGGGAACAATGGCAGGGAATATCCTGAGGAATGACATTATCTGGGTGCACATTATCAATTGTTTTGCTGATAGAGTTTAGGGGGCATGGGGCCACAGAGCAAACTCCACCCTGAAGCCTTTGCTCTGTCCTTGACCCTCAGGTGGAAACTGTACCGGAGCTGTCCTCAAAGATGTCATGAACTTCAAGGGCAAAGATGTGACAAGCCTCCTTGGGCTAACTGCATTCCTATGCTGGGCCAACAAAATGGCAAAGTGAACCATCTGGCAAGCCTAGAGGTTTCTAGGAGGCCCCATGAAATAGCCAGGATTACACTCCAGAGGGGCCTCTGCCTACACCTCCAATTACTTCATACTTTTTTCATTTCCAGCTTTATCCCTTGCTCCCCTTACTAGGGAAATGAAACTCAAGCTCTCATATTCTGTATCCCTAGACACTATCACTGGGCTACAGTCACAGCTTTTACTTATTATTACTGGAAGCATATTGGGTGTGAGACAGGGTTTCTTTTTATAGGCCAGGCTGATTGCAAATTTTCCATCTTCCAATGCCTTGGACTCCAAATGCTAGCTAGGACTACAGTGTGCACAACCATGCCCAAACCCTGCAAGAAGTGTTAAATTTAAGTGGCCTGTAAATCATGTCAAACTTCCCTTATACACTGAAGCTCCATTCACAAAGGGAAACTGACATCACAGTCAGTTTTCCAAGTAAGGCAGGTCATCCAGACCTTCTCTGGCAAGGCCAAGACCGTATCCCACAGGCCACAGCTCTTACACTTGTTTCAGTCCCTTTCAACACAGCCTTTGTATGTCTCTGGGAGAGATACTTCACCCTGAACATAACACCTGACTGCTCCAAGACACACACCATCTAACCACCAGAGCCTCCAGTTCCCCTCAAGCTGGCTTGGCTTCTGCATCTAAAAGGAACTTGCTATTCGTTCTTGAAACTGAAGATGGCTACACCAAACCATAGGACCCGCAGCAGGAGCCCATCAACACCCGGCATATATATAGCTGGACAAGGGGCGGGAGTATGACAGAGCAGTAGAGTAGAAGGGACCAGCAAGCAAACTCAGCCTCCCACACTGCAAGAACAGTCAGGGTGGTGACCTTTGTACATCACCAGTGAAAGGTGCACTTGCCTGTGAGGGGCTGACCACAGGCTGCTCACATGCCCATGCTAACTAAGGTAGGGCACAACTAAGGCACTGGCAACCTGAAGGAACAAGCTGGCTATTAGGAAAGACCACTGGCCAGGCCACCTACCATGACAGCAGAAATTCTTCAGGTATGGCTGCCCAACTGACCTGCTGAAGTACAAAATAGTTCAGTCTCACAAAGCAGATTCTACAAAATCTAACGGTCTGCACTGTTGCGGGATATTTGATCACATTGTGATACCCCAAGACCATTGATAAAGTTAACCTTGAGTCAGGGGTGGAGCCAGTGACTAGCTGACAGGCATTAGCCATAGAGAAGCCAAGAATATGGATAGAGGACACACAAGAAGGAGCAGGGAGGGACTTAGAGCTTTTGCAGGCTCTTCCATCTGGAGAGGTCAACTGGTTGTTCCACATCTTTGTACTATCAGGGTTTCTTTTTCCAGACAGGGTTTCTCTGTGGCTTTGGAGCCTGTCCTGGAACTCACTCTGTAGATCAGGCTGGCCTTGATCTCACAGAGACCTGCCTGTCTCTGCCTCTCAAGCACTGGGATCAAAGCTGTGCACCACTAACGTCAGGTGAACTATCAGGTTTTCATCCCATTATTTGACTCCCAAGCCTTCATTGGTAATAGAACAATCTAGATAAACATATCATGACACCCACACTTTTTTTTTCTGAGGAGGAAGTGTTGGCTTGACATAGGGTATTGCTATGTTGAAAAGGCTAGCCCTTCAGTACCTGGCATTACTAAGCATAAGCCATAGCCTGGCCCTTTCAAATGTCCTCTTAAGGTTTGCAAAGCCACATGGCATGAATGGAGAGCCCAGCACCCACAACAGAAAAACAACCCTCCCTAAACAAGACTGTGTCTGTTTCCTGCTGTGCAGCACAGCTGAGTGATGGTGTCTAGGCTGTTCCTCTGAAGCCACACTCCACCCCTCTACCAGGCAACATTGCCTTAGAGACTCAGTTTGGTTACATCATAGAAACTGGACAAGCATGGGATAAAAATGTGTGGGTGGGAGGGTTGGGACAATAATAGACTTGGTGACTTAGGGAAGGCACAGTCACATGGTAGGCTAGTGTATCTGTATATTTCCCAGGAGAGAAAAATATTAGGATGGGGGAAATGTTAGTGGGAAATGTGAAGAAGCAATTGCTTAGATTTTTTCCAAATTTAATTAATGGCATAAATTTACAAAGTTCCCCAAACTCCAAGGTTAAAAAATCAGTAGACAACATCTAGGTACATCTGAAAACAGCCCCCAAAAGAACACGTTATGGTAGAAAAACTGCGTGACTCAATACTGGCTCATCATCAGAGACAGGGACCAGATGATGACAACAGCAAGACAGAAGAGGCACAAATGAAGAGACAATACATGTGATATGTAGGGACCCGCTGTAGCTACAAAGAGCAGGGAGAAAAGAAACCCACAGAAAACACACGCTGCGGAGACAAGGACAAAGGCTGGAGAGCTATACTTCAGGTAAACACACGCCGAACAGGAATCTAACACCAGACATGAGGGAAACTACATGATAAACTGTTCAATATATACTACAACAGGAAACCTAATGGTAGCTTCAAACTATGAAGTAGAAACATTAGAATTACAGAAGTAGGAATGGGACAGACATGATCAAGATACATTTATACACATGTGAAAGTGTCAAAGAGGAAATAAAAAAATTAAAAATCCAAAACCAAATATAGCAAGACATTTTAAGGCAATGCAGAAACTTATATGCATGTAAGATCACTGAATTAATACATTATCAACAATTTAACAATTACTAGTAAGGTTATTTTTATCTCAAAAAAGGCCATTTCGATCATAATCGAGATTCTACTGTTCTTAGTTCCTTGTGAAAACAAAGCAATAAAGACAGGTTGTCCAAACAATCCTACCGATCACTCACTCACTCACCTAACCGGTATTTCAGAACACACTCCCCTCCAGTTCAGTGTATGTGTAGTCCTGGCTATCCTGGAACTCACTCTGTAGACAGGCTGGCCTCAAACTCACAGAGATCTGCCTGCTCCTGGCCTCCTGAGTGCTGGGATTAAAGGTGTTTGCTACCACGCCCAGTGGTGTTTGTTCAACAGTACACAGCAAGGTATTTTCTGACCTGAATAGTCAGTATCATTAAGACAATTGGAGAAAAACAAGTATCTGCTAGATGGACAACATACTTAAAAAAATAAATAAAAGAAAAATCTACAGTCAGTGACCTAAAGGAGCTAAAGAAAAATGAGTAAAGAAAATCCAAGGTACGGCTAGGCATCAGTGGTGCATGCCTTTAGTCCCAGCACTCGGGAAGCAGAGGCACGTGGATCTCTGAATTCAAGGCCAGCCTGGTCTACAGAGCAAGTTCCAGGACAGAGAAACCCTGTCTCGAAAAACCAAAAAAAAAAAGGTACATAGGAGAACAAAATGCAAATGCCAATGAGACTCACAATTGAGAACAATTCATAAACCAAATAAAACAGACCTCTAGGTGGAATAAAATCCCCAGTGTGAGAGGCCTGGGGAGTAGCTAGGTCCCACCCCTGGTACTACACAGACACACAGTATTGGAAAGAGTGAGAAGTTTTCACCACAAGTTATGAATAATCGTGTCTACAAATACATTTCCTAAAAATACCATCAAAATGACACAATATAAAGCCAAAGAAATGTATAAACCTCTGACAAAGCAGATGAGTGGCTCATATCTGAGACAGGAGGATCACTGCAAGTTTGAGACCAAGCTGAACTACAAAGTTGTTTGTCAGTCCAGACTACAGACTGAGTCTCTGTCAATTTTTAATTCTGTTTGTTTGTTTTTCTCTGTGCAGCCCTAGCTGTCCTGGAACTAGCTCTTGTAGAGCAGGCTGGCCTTGAACTCACAGAGACCCACCTGCCTTTGCCTCCCAAGTGCTGGGATTAAAAGTGTGTAACAACACTGTCAGTCTGTGAGTCTCTCAAAAACACCAAAAAGAAAGGAAAATAACCTACAAAGTTTTCTTCCTCCAATGAAGACTTTCAAGCCCAGGTACCAAAGAAGAGACTAGTTAAAACTGAGTTATTAAAACTGCTTTTTAGTATCAACAGGAACATTGGTCATAAGTCCACATAAGCCAGAGGAAGTGTCAAAAACATGAGAGCTCTGAAGAAATTCATTTCTTCTTCCCTTTTGAAGGCTTGGCAAACAGAGCTGGGTCAATGTGCTCCTTTGCCAGGCCCCTAACAGAGAAGAGTCTGGCCGCCCGCTCCTGCAGGGTGCCCCCGCACTTCAGTCCAAGGGCCATCAGTTCACACTTGAGCTTCTCCAAACCCAGCGACTCCAACTCTGCAGCAGAGCTGAATGCTAACAGATCCACAGCTTCCCGACCGAGAGCCTGATGGGAAAAGGAAGACTGTAATTACCAACTACATTCTATTTTCAATGAACTGCGAGTTACTGTAGCACCACCCTGCTATTGACCTGTCATCTAGACACCATTCCATATGCAGTTCTGATACACACAGAAAGCTAATTTCGTATCTATGTACCTAGAAAAAAACATTCAAGACAGTAGCATGTATAGAATTCCTTAGTAGATCCTCCCCTTACCAGACCCAAGATAAGGTCTCATACAGAAGTCAAAGCTAACATTGGACTTGCTTATGTAGTCAGCTAAAGCTGACCCTGAACTCAAGATCTGCCCATCTCTGCTTCTCAAGGGCTCATATTACAAGTATGTACCACCATACTTGCATCTATTTTTGATTTTTAAGACAAGATTTGCTATGCAGCCCTGATCTCAAGCATTCAGTAATATTCCTGCCTTTGCCTCACAAATGCTGGGATAGTATAGGTGCGTGCCACCAGTCCCTGCTTGGAACACACTCTTCTTTTATTTATATTTTTTCTTTTTCCTGTTTTTCAAAACAGGGTTTCTCTGTGTAGCCTTGCTATTGTGGAACTAGCTTGGTAGAGATGCAGAATCTGGGATTAAAGGCACTGGCCAACACTCTCAGCTTGGAACACATTCTTTTTCTTTTTTTTTTTTTTAATAAAAATTATTTATCTGAAGGATGGGAGGGAGAGGGAACTGGGACTAGTATGTAAAAATAAGATTGTTTTAATTTAAATAAAAATTAATTTTAAATTATTTATTTTTATTTTATGTATATTGGTGTTTTGCCTGCATGCAAGTCCCAGTGAGGGTGTCAGAGCTTGGTGTTACAAACAGTTGTGAGTTGCCATGTGGGTGCTGGGAATTGAACACACACACACACACACACACACACACACACACACACACACACACACCCTGCCTGGTTTACACTGCAAGTTCCAGGACAGCCAGGACTACAGAGAAAAACCCTGTCTCAAAAAACCAACAACAATAAAAAGCTTCTTTCCTACATAAACTGGCTATTTTAGCCACACGCTTTCTTGGTCCTCTCTCCTCTCCTGGTTCACTTGCCTGCTCTTCCCTCCCCCCACCATGTCCCTGTTCAGTCTGCGCTCTTCCAGATGTCTCTCACTGTACTCCCTGCAATAGACTCCTTCTCCTCAACCATCAAACAAATAAACAAACCACTAAAAAACAAAACAAATAAAACCCAAAAGCTAAGCAGGCATGGTGATGCACACCTTTGATGCCAGCTCCTGGGAAGTGGTAGATGGAGCTCTGTGAACTTAAGGCCAGTGTGGTACACACAGGTAGCTCCAGGCCTGCTGGGTTATACTGTGAACCCTGATCTTAAAACAAACAACAACAAAGGCACTAAAACTGAAGCCATGTCTTAGAGCTGATGAAACAAGGCATCAAGGATGCCACCTAGTGGTAAACAGTGTAATTCCAGAGCTTACAGGGAACAGGCTTCACATCTGCACTATTTAGGATTAAATGTTTCCAGTAAGCAGCCATGGGGACAGAGGCACATCTTTGAAAACTCAGTGAATTACTTTGTGATCACAGATTTTGAACTCAAGGCAGCCTGAACTACAGAGTGAGTTCCAAGTCAATCACAGAAATGAAATCCTATCTCAGAACAAAACAACTAAACAAAAAAGGGGCCGATAGATGGATGGCTCAGTGGTTAAGGGCACTGGCTACTCTTCAGGACCTGGCTTTAATTCCCAGAGCCTGTAAGATAAGTCCCGATCATCTGTAAATCCAGTTTCACTGGATCCAATGATCTCTTCTGGGCTCCACGGGTACCAAGCATGCATGTTTCATGCAGACATACATGCAGACAGAACATCCATACACATAAAGTAATAAAAATTTGAAAAGAAATGTAAAGGGCTGGGTTGGTGGCACATGCCTGTAATGTCAGCGATGAAGAGGTTTCCAGGTCCCCAAGAGCTAAACACACACACACACACACACACACACACACACACACACACACACACTCTTTTTTTAAGAGCAAAAACAAAACAAAACCAACATACTGTGTCTCCTGAGTGGCTTCCTTCCAGGTTAGCAATAGAGACACTTTTCCCATTTTCTCCAGATAGAGCCACGGCAGCTCTGTCCCCACCAGGCACTCCTGTCTCTTGGTCCTTCTGTGTGGGTTTGAGGCCCTCTGTTTCCTTTGCTGTGGTCTCTTCTGCTTCTGTGTCCATCTTCCTTTCGCTGTGCTCCCTGGCAGATGTCTTTCCCAGCTCAGTTTGTGTGTTCTCCAAAATGTCCTTCCCAGGGTCAGGGTCAGGCATGGTTTTCTGAAGCTTTCCTGGAGACTTAGAGTGTGTGCTCAACCCAGAGCTCTGAGAGCTACAAGGACAGTCAGCTGCCACCTCAACACCATCACTATCATCTTCTGGAGCACAGCAGCTCAGCCCCGAAGTACCAGGGCCTTCATCACTGTCATCATCTGAGCTTCCGACACCGGAGCCCTCAGCAGCCTCCAGTCCTTCCATGCCCAACCTGTGGAAGGCAGCAGAAAGTTGTGACACCATTTCCAACCTGTACCTAGTAAAAGTACGGGCTTCCTGGAGATGGCGAGTTGGTAAATTTCAGAAAAGTGTATTGCAGAGGTGTAAACAGAAGGGATAGCATTCAACCATGTAAAACCCAACAGGAGTGACCATGCTCTTGCTGGAGTGTTCTCCCTCAGTACACATGCCCTTCCTTGTATGCTCTCTTAGCTCCTTTTTTTTTTTTTTTTTTTTAATTATGATTCTGTTAAAATTATGCGTGAGGGGCTGGAGAGATGGCTCAGAGGTTAAGAGCGCTGGCTGCTCTTCCAGAGATCCTGAGTTCAATTCCCAACAACCACATGGTGGCTCACAAACATCTATAATGAGATCCGGTGCCCTCTTCTGGCCTGCCAGTAGACAGGCAGGCGCATTGTATATGTAATAAAATAAACACATTTTTAAAAAACTTAAAATAAGTAAAATTATGTTTGAGATTTTCCCTTTCTACATTAATTCCTACTGTTGAAAATTAGACACAGTAAAAGCCATAAAAAAACCCTTGGTAGTTCCAGGACAGCCTCCAAAAGCCACAGAGAAACCCTGTCTCGGGAAAAAAAAAAAAAAAGGAAACCCTTGGGTCTGAGGATGAAATCAGTGGTGGAACACTTGCTTAGCATGTATGAGGCCCTAGGTTCTATTCCTAATATCAGCAAGAAAGAGGGAGAACACCCTACACTTTATTAATAATTGCTGTGCTGGATAGTTTTTTTTTTTTTTTTTTTTTTAAAGATTTATTCATTGTGTTTACAATGTTCTGCTTACATGTCTGCTTCAACACCAGAAGAGGGCACCAGACCGGATTACAGGTGGCTGTGAGCCACCATGTGGTTGCTGGGAATTGAACTCAGGACCTTTGGAAGAGTAACCAGTGCTCTTAACCTCTGAGCCATCTCTCCAGCCCGCTGGATAGTTTTATATCCATTTGACACAGCTAAAGTCATGTGAAAGGAGGGGACCTTAATTAAGGAAATGTCTCCATAAGATTGGGTTAGAAGACAAACCTGTAGGGCATTTTCTTAGTTAGTGATTAATGGGAAGGACCCAGCCCATTGTGGGTGGGGCCATCCCTGGGCTGATGGTCCTAGGTTCTGTAAGAAAGCAGACTGAACAAGCCATGAGAGCGCAAGCCAGTAAGCAGCCACCCCTTCATGGCCTCTGCATTGGCTCCTGCTCCAGGATCCTGCCCTGACTTCCTTCAATGATGAACAATGATCTGGGAGTATAAGCCAAAAAGTTCCCTTCCTCCCCAGGTTGCGTTGGTCTTGGTGTTTCACCAAAGTAATGGTAAACCTACTTAGGACAACTGCCTTAACTACAAAGTCTCCAAGGTATCTAACAAATGGAGAATGGATAAAGAAATTGGAATATGCAGGCAACTTCATAATACAAAGCAGTAGGAGCTTAGCACGGTAGCACATGCTTGTTACCCCCAGCACTCAGGTGAGGCAGGAGGGCCAGGAACCAGGAACTCAAGAGACCAAAGCAACAGCTAAAACACAGATCAATCTTAAGAAACATACATTGAACAAAAGAAGGTAGGCATTGGAGGTGATCTGACACTCTCGAGAAGGCTGAAACAGTAGGAACAAACATCGAGTTGGTGGGAATCAGTTGCCAGGATGTATGAGGGCACACATGAAAATTTTCCGTCTTGTCTGTACTTCAGGCAGAATATCCATACACATAAAATAATAAAAAACTCGGAAAAAAGTGACAAAGCTATTTGCTCTGTGATGGTCCACTATGAAGGGAGAAAAGCTGTCCTTGCAGGTGCTGGGGAAATAGCTCAGTTTGGTAAAGGGCCTCACATACAAGCATGAGGACCTTCGTTCAGAAACCCCCGCACCCTCCCAATGTAAAATGTCAGGTGAATCAGGAGCATCTGAAATCCGCACAGGAGCTGAAGTAGGAGATAGAGACAGGAGGATCCTTGGCACACACTGGTTAGCAAATCTACCACACAGATGAGTTCCAAGTGTGAGGAACCCTATCAAAAGAGGTAGGAAGCAGGAGGAACACATTAATGCCAACCTCTGGCCTCCACACACATGCTCATGTGTGCGCGCGCGCACACACACACACACACACACACACACACACACACACACACACACACACGTATGTACACACGTGAGCTTATCAGATTCTGCTGAATGGTGTCCACAGCAGAAAACACTACTGAGGTGCACAGGGTGCCAGCCTACAAAACCTGAAGCCTGAAGCACCCTGCACATGAACTTCCACCAATGCTACTTAAAAATGTGCTTGTTCCAGCCCTGGATGTGGTGGCCCATGTTGGTGATCTGTGATCCAAGCAACAGGCTGAAAATGTCCTTAAAGGGCTTACCAAAAGCATTTCCTTTTCTTTGCTCCAGCTTCCCGGTCTGTCTTTGATTTGTTAGGCCGTTTCCGAGTCTCACTGTTTCCTGCTGACACCATCTTGCTGGAGGCAGCCTGCATACCTGAGGGAAAATTTTAACCAGTTTCGGTAAGGATATAATTTGGGTTGTAGAAAGTGCTATTATCTTTTTTAAAAACTTATTTTTTTGGAGATAGTGTTTCTCTGTGAAGCCCTGGCTGTCCTGGAACTTGCTCTGTAGACCAGGCTGGCCTCAAACTCACAGGGATCCACCTATCTCTGCCTCCCTGAATGCTAAAAAAAAAAAAAAACCTTTTAATTAGCACACAAAGTAACATTTTCTTACACTTTTTTCATACATATTTAGTTATGACTGTTCCTACCTTATGAAAGGTAAATTTCTTCATATCAAATTTTTAATTATGAGATTAATCTCAAATTAAAAAACATTTCAAATAAACATTATGAAACCGTGTCTATGACAAGATCTCAATCAGCCAAGCTAGCTGCAACACACTGGCTGAAAATGACCTTGATCTGATTCTCCTGTCATCACTGCACTGGTGTGAAGGTCACAGGCACTCCATCATGCCCAGCTAGGACAGCACATTCATTCGTTTGTTTGTTTTTTAAGACAGGGTTGCTCTGTGTAGCTCTGGCTGTCCTAGAACTTGCTCTGTAGACCAGGCTGACCTCAAACTAGAAGATCTGCCTGCCTCTGCCTCCCCAGTGCTGAGATTAAAGGCGTGCACCACCAACGCCCCACTCTTATTTGATTATTTTTAAGGAATAGGGTTTTCTCTGTGTCCTGGCTAGCCTGGAACTTACTGTACAGACTATGAACTCACACAAATCTATCTGCTTCTGCCTCATACTCAGTCCCCAGAATAGTATTTTCCTATCTATCTACCTTTCTATCTATCTATCTATCTATCTATCTATCTATCTATCTATCTATCTATATCCATCCATCCATCCATCCATCCATGTTTTTTGGGGGACAGGGTCACGTAACTCTGGCTGGTTTAGAATTTGCTATGTAGACCAGGCTGACCTCGAATTCAGAGACTCCCTGCTTCAATTTGAGTACTGGAATTAAAGGCATGAATCACCACATCAAACTTAGAACAAGTTTCTTTTTTATTTTGTTCTGTTTTTGGTTTTTCGAGACAGGTTTTATCTGTAACAGTTCTGGCTGTACTGGAACTCACTCTGTAGACCAGGCTGGCCTTGAACTCACAAGTTCTGGAACTAAAGGCATACGCCACTACCAATTGGCTTTAAAACAGTATTTTAAAAGTACCAATATTCACCTTGAGGCTGGTTCATACCTAACAGCTATTTTCATACATTTGTCTTTCCTGTCCTAGCACAGTCTTTTGATGAAAAGGATCCTTTAAATCAACTACATTCATGACAGGGCCAGACACTGCACTGGATCCTTAAAATATGCTGAGGTTGCTGTGGCAGTGGTGGCGGAGGAGGCACATGCCTTTAATCCCTGCACTTGGAGGCAGAGGCAAGCGGATCTCTGTGAGGTTGAGACCAGCCTGATCTACAGAGCTAGTCCCAGGACAGCCAAGGCTGTTACACAGAGAAGCCCTATGTTGAAAAAAGAAGTTTGTATGCAAACTCCTGAAGGCTTCCCATATCCCTATACTGCACACACAAAAAAAAAAAAAAAAAAAAAAAAAAAAGAGAGAGAGAGAGAAAAGATGGACTGGCAAGATGACTCAGCCATTAAAGGCTGAGCTCACAACGAAGAGTCCAAAAGCCTAAGAAATCTGGAGGGTAAGCCTGCCAAATGTTGCCTCTGTGTTGTGCTGGGTGTGGTGCAGGTGTTAGCATGAAATAAAAGGAGAGGAGTCCTAAGGCTTTCATCATCCTCTTCCAAAGTGTTCAAGGGCACCCTTACAGTGGAGTGAGTGGTCTGAAGCTCATGGCTCCAGGGCCTGCAGAGCACAGAGGAATCCTCACTCTCACCTTTGAGGACGGAATCCTCCAAACGCTCAGCCATTTCATGACACTGCCTCTGGTAATCGGGGTTGGTGAAGCAGTGCTTAGGCTCTGCAAGTTTTCGCTGCAGTCTCTCCAGGCGCTTTTGCTCCTTTTCAGCCTCTCGCTCGGCTTGCTGTTTTACCCACTCAGCCATCCTGGGGAAGGACGGAGATGTAATTGAATGAATGTATCATATACAGCATTTAGATCAACAGTAGACCACACATATGAAACTGATCCAATACTACAATATAGATGAAAAACTTACTGCTAAATGGCCCTGAAGTAACACTTACTCACCTGTTTATGGTAATGTGTTATTAAAACAAAACTCTCCAGCTCTGAGTAACAAAAAGTACAGAATAATCACGCACATGACATAGTGCTTGCTACTAACTGCCACTGATTATACAGCTACTGTACTTTTATTGGTGTGGAAGAGGTGATCACAGGGATCAAAACCAGAACCTTAAGCAAATGTTTTACCACCAAACTGCACTGCTATTCTACTAATGTTTCACTCATGCTCCTACTTATTAAGTCAAATTTACTTATAGGCCTGGTGTCCCACACCTTTGATCCCAGCAGTGGGAGGCACAGGCAGGTATATCTCTGTGAGTTTGAAGCCGTTCTGGCCTACATAGTAGGTAACAGCAAGCCAAAGCTACACAGAAAGACCCTGCCTCAAAAATCAAAACCACAATGGACAAACAGAAATTAAATTTACTATGAAACTGTATGGCACGTTTCATTAGCGCCACCTCACACACAACAGTCCACCAATCTCTTCGTTACATCAGATGATTGATTATAATGTCTGGGTTTACTAATACTCCCTCTGTGATACTCACATAAGGAACTCCTATTCATATCGTGACACATCTCCAGAAAAGTGTGTCATGCTTAATGTCACCATACTGTAAGGACTTAACTACAAAGTGGGTATCTTACGCTTTCTCATGATTGACATCTCGTAATCTCCTCCCACTGAGATCCCGGCAGGCTTCTCGATTGGTCGTCTTCTCTATCTGAGCACCAAGTGCTCGAAGCATAGACCCAAAACCTAAAAACCGATACAGGTATCGATTAAGTGGTTAAGGATGCCAAGGACTGATACAACAGAATAATGAGAACAGCCTATATCACAAGACTAAAAATAAACTCCACATTCTTCCTTTTTCTTTTTGAAAAGGAGATGGATGGCATCAAGGTTTTTGCCCAGGATACAAAGGTATTGATCAATTTGATTAGCTTTGTGTTTTTTGCCTTTCACTTTGTACTTCTGAAATGCTCTACTGTACAGGTAGGATCAATGAAAAGCTTTACCCAATGCCAGCGACTCCTAGATTCCTAGGTGAAGAATTGTGTGATGAGGACCTCTGAGGCGGCTCAGTCAGTAAAGTGCAAGCTGTACAAGCTTAATGAACTGAGTTCTGGATCCTCAGTATCCATGTAAATAAAAGCTGGACACAAGGGCACGTGCTTATAGCCCCAGCAACATAACTAGAGGATCCCTGGAGCTCACTGGCCAAACTGATAAGCTTCAGGGTCAGTGAGAAATCTGTCTCCACAAATAAAGTGAAAATATCTGAGGAATATAGCCCATCTTAACCCACATATGTGTGCTAACTAACTCTCCTACACACATGCACACAAACACATATACCAAACATACAGAATTAGATTTATAAGGTGGCTCACTGTAGGAAATCCTATGCCTTCCCCCCGGAGTACAAATTTGCTGTAAGAAGCACATCAGGTTAGCCACCAGAAGCATCTGCATCATGTATTGTAGGGTGAGGGATGGGGGTTGTTTTTTGAGACAGGGTTTCTCTCTGTAGCCTTGGCTGTCCTGGAACTCACTCTGTAGACCAGGCTGGCCTGAATTCAGAGATTCCCCTGCCTCCTGAATGCTGGCATTAGAGGCGTGTGCCACCATGTTTGGGGGTGGGGAAACTCTGAGCTGCTGGCATCTGAGGATATACTGTTTTTTTAAGGACACATTTCAACAAGCAGAACAATTAGTCTCAGATGTCTATACTCTGAGACCAAACCACATCAGACTGAGAAAACTTGAGAATATGCTTGTGCATCATAAAAAACACCCACAGCTGTTCATGTTCTATTTCCATTCTTCTGGTTTCTTTGCCTTTTTTAAAAAAAAAAAAATATTTACTTGTTGGGCATGGTAGGGCATGGTAGGGCATGACTTTAATCCCAGCACTAGGAAGGCAGAGGCAGGTAGATCTCTGAGTTCAAGATCAGCCTGGTCTATAAAGTGAGTTCCAGGACAGTTACACAGTCTGAAAAAAAAACAAAAAACCAAAAAACTTATTTTATGTGTATGGGTATTTTGCCTGCATGCACAGTTATGTGCACCACATACATACCTGGTGCCACTGATCCCCTAGAACTTGAGTCACAGATAGTTATGAGCTGCCACGTGGGTGCTGGGAATTGAACCCATGTCCTCTGGAAGAGCAGCCAGTGCTCTTCTTTTAACTAGTAAGCCATCTCTCCAGCCCTTTATGACTTCCTTTTTTTTGTTTGTTTGTTTTTGTTTTGTTTTATTTTTGGTTTTTTTGTTGTTGTTGTTGTTGTTTTTTTGAGACAGGGCTTCTCTGTATTGCTCTGGAGCCTGTCTTGGAACTAGCTCTGTAGTTCAGGCTGGCCTCGAACTCACAGAGATCCACCTGCCTCTGCCTCCCGAGTGCTGGGATTAAAGGCATGTACCACACTGCCTGGCCTTTACTCTCTTTAACCTTACCAGTATAATCAGGACATTAATCCACCCGGCCTGGCAAGAGTTGTTTCCTAAGATGACTTTGGGTCACCCTTAGAAGTACAACAGGAGACAAAAATCTTGACTATTTCAAAGCTAGCCCTTCAGCAAACTGGAAGGGACAATAGTTACCTTTCAAGAGTAACCCTCCCTAAACTCTTGGAGCCAAGACTCTCAAAGAGCAGCCTGGCTAGAGAAGCTGGGGTTTGTATAATTTTTTACTCTCAAAAAGAATAAAAAAGATTATCCAAAACTGAGTAAAAATGGTTTCACAAGGCCAAACAAGGTTGTGTATACTAGAGACCAACAAGTTTATTAACTTCAAACACACTGCTAGGAACCACAGACTTGTAGCAATAAGCAATCATATCCTACCTCCTTTCCCCCCACAAAGCCTGGGCTCCAAACTGTACACAGCTCCATGCTGCACCGTGTCCCTGGCAGCAACGAGGACTCCATTACATTTTACAAAGAAGCAGTCCACAGGAATTGCCTAGAGACAAGAGTAAAGTCTTTAATACCTTTATGACACCAGACGAGACCTGTCTCTAACTTATTCTTCTTTCATTAATCTTGTTACAAACAGATAACAGGCTGGATTACTATTTGTTAAGCTGAAAACAACAATGACTAAACAGTCCTTCTCTATGTTTGGATGCAGTTTCCTATTGTGATCTTCTTTCTCTCATAGGTCACCTGCATAGCAGACTACACAGGGCTCAGATCTAGAAATGCACAAGTCTCACTTTATTTCTCCTGACCTTTATAAACTGGTTAAAAAAAAAAAAAATTCAACTTAATGTCAAAACGATCCAAAGCCAACCTGCCAGTCAGAAATTTATTTCAGGTGTTTTGTTTTGCTTTTGGAGCAGTATTACATCACCTTGTAACCTATTCTGAATTCAAATTGCAATCTCCCTGCCTCAGTCTTCACATCTAGAAATAACACCATTCCCAGTGGGGAGTTGAGGTTTTACTCTAAATAAAACTAGTGGCCTAGCAAGGTGACCATGCCTTTAATCCCAGCACTCAGGAGGCAGAGGCAAGTGGATCTCTGTGAGTTCCAGGACAGCCAACGCTACATAAAAGAGAGGCCTTGTCCCAAAACCCAAACCAAACCAAACTCCTCACCAACAGCCCCCTACAGAGTTGTCAATATACCACTGTCACTTAAAACCATGTGAGTATATACAATCAGTGAGAAGAAAAGTTATCAGGAGAAAGATCAGCAAATTAAACCTGATGACTTGAAAGTTAGAGATTAGGGAGAGGAGCCAGCAGCCAGGTATTAGAAAGAAGGCCAGGGGAGAAAGAGGGTTGATGGTGATGCATGTAACAGTCACAGCCAACTGTGTCACATGATAAACTCAAAACTGACTACTCTTCTTGGTGATGAACACCAAGATCAAAAGCAACTAGGGGAGGGAGGGATTAATTTCAGCTTACACCCAGGTCACAGTCATCTCTGAGGAAGTCTGGCAGGTGCTGAGACAGAAACCATGCAGAAACGCTGCTTTCTGGCTTGCCCTCTGGCTGCTCAACTAGCTTTCCTATGCATTCTAGGCCCACCTGTCTGGGATGGCACCACCCACAGTAACCTTTGCTTTTCTCAGCAATTAGCAATCAAGAAAACGAGTCCCAGACAATCCCACAGGTCAGTTTGATAGAGACGATCCCCCAGCTGAGAATCCCTTGGATAACTCTTGGCATGTCAAGTTGTTGTCAGCTGAACCTAACTATGAAAAGAAGGTAATTACAAATTATTTGTAGAATAATGACAGTTCATCCGCAACGATAGAAGGCTGCAAGGCAGAAGCACTAGTGTGAAGACAACAGTCTCTAGCTTCTCAGTGAAGAGAACATATAGAAGACACCACTGCAAACGAAGAAGGCAAGGGAAGAGCCAGGGAGCTGAAGCTAACCTCAACAGAATGAATGGCATGAAGCGCTATTCTTGTCTGAAACGGTCTCCCTTACATTGTAAAGATTCACCTCACATTAATGTTTATAAACTAAAAACCACTTTAACATCTTTATATGTAATATATACGGTACTTCCAAACTTGTTGTTTTGTTTTTTGAGACAGGGTCTCTCTGTAGCCCTGGCTGTTCTCAAACTCACCTGCCTCGGCCTCCCCCATGTAGAATTAAAGGTGTGTACCACCATCCACTAACTGCAAAACTTTGAAAGACAAGAATGTGAAGGCAGAAACTTTTATGTTCAAGCAAAATTGCTTATTAAAAAAAACTAATCAAAGCTGTTTTATTTTTAAAGTTTTTTTTATTATTTTTAGTTATGTGTATTGTGCCTGTCTGCATGTAGGTATGGGCATATCAGTGTCCTCAGAGGCCAGAGGAATGCTGTTTTGTTTTGAAACAGGGTTCATGTAGTCAGGATGGCCTCAAATTCACTACAAAAAGGAGGCTGATAACTCCCAATTCTCTGGTCTCCACCTCTTAAGTGCTGAGATTACAGGCATAAACCACCATGCTCAGCTTTATTTCTAGGGCCTTTAACAAAAATATCCTTAACACTTCTCATTGTTAATATCCTATGGTTAGCCGGGCAGTGGTAGCGCACACCTTTAATTTCAGCACTCGGGAGGCAGAGGCAGGAGGATCTCTCTGAGTTCGAGACCAGCTTGGTCTACAGCGTGAGTTCCAGGACAGCCGAAACTACACACAGAGAAACCCTGTCTCGAAAACCAAAACACAAACAAAAAGGCGCACAACATTAGAAGCCTTTGACCAGAGTTTCATAAATACAGGTGAGCAAAAAGAACAGGCAGAAAGTCTCGAGAGAACCTATGGTGTCAACAGAACCGTGAGTGATTGACCAGTGACCCGATGAATCCGTGTCCTTCTCTAAACGTCCTATGCCTGGGTCTGGCTATGACCTGCTCTCCAGGTTAGAACTAGCAGGGTTTCCAGATGGGCTATAAAAAAGCATATTCCTATTCATAATTTAGGAATAAAGAAACAGAACCAAAGAGTTTCTAATCCAAGTTGGGTAAGAGGTTTAATTGGATTTTGTTTTTTCTTACAATGTAGGGGCAAAACAACTACCGCCAGATTACCAAATTAAGGTCCCAGTACTGATCGGAATCACCTGAAACCGGAGAATTCGCAGCCTCAAAATTTGAAAAGTTCTGAGGACAGAAGCACCCACAACGTCTTACCCAGCCCGGCCCGGTGAGTCCTTCCCCCACCTCCCGGCAACCGCGCTCCTCACCTGTTCCTGGCAGTGTCGGTAGATAACATCGCGCACGGAGCACCTGCCCGAGGCACACGGCAGCGCCTTGCACCCGGTTCCGGGGCCGCGAACCCACGCTAGTACCGTAGCCTCCGCCATTCTGCTTGGGGACGGAACCTCCAGCCGGTGACAAGCACTAGGCGACACCATCTGGACGCGCCTCGATGACGCAAGGCTTCACTCTCCAGCGCCCCGCCCCTCCCGCCCCGCGTTTTCCCACTCACCCTGCCTTTCCGGAGGGCAGTCACGTGGCCCGGAATCGCGAGCCTGGCGTGGGGGAGGGGACAGGAAAGGCCTGCCGGAGGCCGATAAGACCGCGGAGCGCTCGGGCTAGGCGTTGCTAGGGGCGGTTGCTAGGGCGGGGCTCGAGGGACTGGCTATAAAGGGCCAGCTCTGGGCGCGGCTGAGCGCTGTGGCTGTGAGCGATAAGGCTGGCTGTAGATCCGCCCAGCGCCGCAGGCCCCCCAGCGCCACTCGCGTTTGTGTAGCTATTTTTGGGTTTGCGGCGGGGAGAACGCGGGCTCGGTGACTGCCTCCTCCACCCGCGAGGCCTCCCAGCTCCTGGGGAACGGCCCCCAGTGGTCCCCTAACCACAGCCTCGGCCCGTTTCCTGAAGTTGTCACCCCCTCCGTCCTTCCATCACGTTCGACTCGTTCTCATTTTTGCATGTTTGCGCTCTGCGCTCTCTTCGCTTCAGCTGTGTTTTCAAAATATTTCACAGCAAATGGGCCCTTGTGAACGGCAGGGGCGGGAATGACGTTTATAGCCATGCTGCTTCCAAAAAACCTAGCTGCAACGTTCATTCTGCACCATGGAAACACTCGTGCAGATTTTACAGCGAGTAACTTTTAAGGTTCGGGCACTGAGGGAGGCCCTTAATATTTAATATGCGGGATGATGGTGTTTCTAAAATACTGAACAATTTAAAGCTGCTAGTGTGAAGCTGGGAGGTTTATCGGGAGGTAACTCCGTCTTCTGAACACAGATGTGCTGGCCCATAGAACCATGCTCTCGGCTGCTAAAATGCAGGCAGATGGAACTAATCACCTAGGGAAAAAGCACAAAATCTGAAATCCTTTAACTGTGAGAATGAACAAAATAGAATCCTAGCTCCTGTGAAGTTATAGATCTGTTGTTGTTACACACAGGCGGGAGACAGGGCCTCCATGAAAATTACAGGAGATGAAGAAAAATTACACCAAATATGTTGTTCGGTGGGCGGTTCATCAATATGAAAGCAGGATAAACTGGGAAGCACATGCCCTTTAGTCTTTTCCCATTCCATCCTTTAGCGTGTAGACCCAACTGCTTATTTATTATTTCCACCTTTTGGGAATTAGAAATGACCATTTCGAGAGTCTGGCAGCGTCTGCCTCTGAGAATAACCAGATAATGGTCAGTTTGGGGTTATGTAACATTTCCTTGTCAGGATAATGCTTTGTAAGCTGGAAGGTTTCAGGAGGATTTCCTTCTAGCAAGGAAAGTCCACATCATTTATTACTAACATTCAATCTACTACTCCCCAAATCTAATATCTGGATGAATTCACTTTTTATACCTTGGTTGTATTTAATGCCTATTATGAAAAAGCCCCAAGTAATGAGCAAGCATTTATCATTTAAGATACGAACTAATCATTATTAACTTTTCAAGGACACAAATCTCTTGAGCAATCTGTTAAACCTTCCCATCGAGTGTCACACACTGTAAAATACACAAAGTGGATGTTAGATACTAGGTGGATATTTGGTGAATTACTATCTAACAAGTATTCCAAGTGTGCATCTGAAGAAACATACTTTCCACTAACAGAACATTCTATGTGAGGATACAGAAGTCAACTTGATCTCTATAAATTCATTTAAGCAATGGGAGAAAGTGAGGCATCGGAGGCTAAAGGTGTGACCAAGAACACAATGCTTATTGAGGAAAGATCTAGAAAGACAACCGGTTAGCTTCCTGGCTGGAGCTATGTTGTCATATCCAGTGGCCAGTGCTGTGGGGTGAGGCCAGTCAGTGATTGTGTAAAAAGAGAGTTACTGTTGCCACCTTTCTGTCTCATGGTGTCAGATGAAGACATGACAGGAAGGCACGTGTGTGGCTGTGACAAGTTAATGGGGGGTGGGGAGCAGTTCCTCAATTGTCGAAATTGTGCAGCTGTGCTCCTAGGACCTGCACACTTGGTGTTCTTCCAGACAAACCACACTGGCTTTGTCCCCGCCCTTCCCAAAAGAGCAGCTCCAGCTGTACATCTGCTTTTTGGGGACTGGTTCAGCTGCCACCAGAGGGACATGATGAGAGCATCCTGAGGCAATGGGGAATGATTATTCACTGCCAGGAAATGACAGCACAAGACAGGCAATGTTTGTGTGGCAACCCATGACAGGGGCTTGATTGAGCCAAATGTCATGCTGTTCTGTGAGGGCAGGAAGCAGAGCTGGGTACTAGCATTTTCCACAAACACAGCAAGACTCTCCAACCAGTTTCTTTCCAGGCTGTGTCCATGTGTGACATGCCAGTGTTTTCAGCCATGTTCAGGCTCAGCAGAAAGGAAAAGCTATTAATATCATTTTCGTGACAAAGGACAATGGGACAAGCTGACTCCTTTAGTGCCACAAACGCAAAACTGCCATCAACTCCCACATTGGCAAGTGTTGTCTTATGTGATGGCTGCAGCCCTAGGAACAATGAGGTCGGCTCCTGGGATGGAGAAACAGCATCTGAGGGAAGAGCCTAGGAGTCCACACTGGCGGTGGATGTGGGGGAGGCGGAGCCTGAAGCAAGCCCCAAGATGTTTGGCTGCCAGGGAAAGCAAAACTCCACTCTCCTTCTCTTACTGGATAGAAAGTCACAGGAAGCATTCAGGGTGAGGTGGAAACAGAGGGTAGGAAAGGCAGAAAAAGCAGCAGGGCAGCGATGAAAACTGGACCCACAGCCAATGCTGAATCTAGAAGCCCAAGGCCACCTCTTTGTACTGCCAGCAAGTGCTTCCTTCAGAGTGGACACCATAGATAAATCCTGTCCCTTCTGTGGCCACAAATGTCACCAAAGTCTGCCGTTATAACAGAAATGCCAGCTTACAACCAGTCTTCATTATTGTTCTCACCAACACCACCAAGCGATCTGTTTCACTGAGAAATCTGAAGGCAGGCTGGGGAAACTGCTCAGTGAGGAAAGGTGCTTGCACCCAAGTTCCAGCCTCTAGACTCACATGGAGGAGAGACCTAACAACTTCAAGTTGTCCTCTAATCTCCACACACCATGCCCCAGTGCACACATAGATGCCACAAATTAATGTACATTTTTTTCTTAATAAAAAGAAATTTGAGCCTGGCCGGTGTCGGTGCATGCTTTTGGTCCCAGCACTTGGGAGGCAAAGGCAGGTGAGTCTCTGTGAGTTCAAGACCAGCCTGATCTACAGAGTGAGTTCCAGAACAGGCTCAAAAGCTACAGAGAAACCCTGTATCAAAAACAAAACAAAAGAAAAGAAAAAGAAATCTGAGTTGGGTAGAGGTGGTACATGCCTTTAATCCCAGCACTTGGGAGACAGAAGCAGGAAAATCTCTGAGTTCAAGACCAGCCTGGTCTACAGATCAAGTTCCAGAATAGCTACAGAGCTACAGAGAAACCCTGTCTAAAAAAAAAAAAAAAAAAAAAAAAAAAAAAACCAAGAAGGAGGACACAGCTGGGTGGTTAAAAGACTTGCCACACCAGCATAAAGACTGAAATTTGGATCTCAAGAACCCATATAAATGCCAAGTAGGTAGAGTAGCCCACCTGTAATTCTAGCATTCTGACAGCAGAGACCAGGGGACTCCCCAGAGCAGGCTGGACAGCCACATTAGCATTATTACTGAGTTCTAGTTTCAAGTGAGACACCACACCTTAATACATAAGGAAGGTGGCAAGGGATACAGGAAGATTCATGAAATCAATATTAGTTTTCCATACACACATGAACACACAAACATATGAGAAACACAAAAGAAATCTGAGCCAAGGGCCTGGGTTACAGTGCTTGCCTAGCATTCACAAAGCCTGAGTTTGATTTCAAGCACCCCATAAACCTAGCATGGCAGCATAATCCCAGCACTCCAGAGGTGAAGGCAGGAAAATCAGAACTACAAGGTTATCTGGGGCTGCACAGAGTTTGGCACCAGCTGGGAAACATGAGAACTTGACTCAAATTAATCAATTTTTTCTAAAGAAAGAAACTGGAGCCTGGCATCATGGTAGACAGTTGCCTATGCCTGAATTCACAGCACTGATTGGTGGGAAACAGAGGATCAGGGTTTAGCTGAAGAAGATATTAGACATCCTCTGGCTCGGACACACACACACAGAGTACACACACACCTGTTCACAGGGGACTGTGGACCCTGGCTTCTTCTTTTTATTTCCTGGCCATGATTAGCATACATTCCCATCATTACCACTCTGCACCCTGACTAGAGGCCTACAAACAACATAACAACTCAAACCATGAGCCAGAATGAGCCTGGTTTTTGTTTTGTTTTTGTTTTTCAAGTCAGGGTTTCCCTGTGTATCCCTGGTCATCCTGGAACTCGATCTGTAGACTAGGGTCATCCTCAAACTCAGAGATCTGCCTGCCTCTGCCTCCTGAGTGATGGGATTAAAGGCATACACAACTGCCTGTTGAACCTATTCTTTTTATCAGTTGATTATCTCATATCTTTCATATAGAGATGGTCTCTGCACATGATATAAGCATGTAGATTTTTTTCACATACACCATCTACATTATATTTCTTAGTTACTGGGACCAATGCTGGTGAGAGGGGGTCTTGCTCTGTCTTAGTTAGGATTCTATTGTTGTGAAGACACACCATGACAACAGCAACTCTTTTTTTTTTTTTTTTTTAGACATTCTTTTTAAATTTTTTTTATTTTATGTGTATTGGTGTTTTGCCTGCATGTGTCTGTGTGAGGGTGTCAGATTACCTGGAACTGGAGTTACAGACAGTTGCGAACTGCCATGCGGGTGTGGGAATTGAAACTGGGTCCTCTGGAAGAACAGCCAGTACTCTTAAATGCTGAGCCATCTCTCCAGCCCCCAACAACAACTCTAACAAAGGAAAGCATTTACTGGGGACTTGATTACAGTTTCAGAGGTTTAGTC